CAATTTTGCCAAATTAGACTGTTCTGTTTTGTGTGTTGCAGTTTGACAGTACTCTATTTTTAATTTGCTCATCATTGATCCTAATAAAGACAAACTGTCATTGTAACCACTGCCTGAAATGCAATACATTAGTTTTATTGCCTCTATAACAGCTGCTCATGTGCTGCTTCCTCTGTCATTCCACGTTGATGTGTCCTTTTCTCTAGGTAGTGCCAGAAAATCAGGGAGAGCTCACAGCATACCTTCTCCATATGAACTGGGTTAAGGAAACATTTTCCAAGGAGAAGGAAATTTTATTGTATGTCTTCATTATAATTCTATCACGTTGTACAGAAAAGGGGCACACAGCAGAAAGTATTTCATGTTCATGTTCATGTGTTGAATAAGTAAAGAATAAGCATTTTGCTGGTTTCCTTTGAATAAGTTTATAAATTCTTCCTTTTACCTAAACACTCTAGGCCTCAGTTACCTCATGTGTAAATTGGGGATGAGAACAATTGCCTTAGTGGACTCTGTGAGAGTCAGATGAGCAAATGTTAACTTTGTAGCTTCAGCAAAGATGCAAGTTTATCACAGGGATGGACAATGTTTTCAAAACTGTCTGAAATCTCAAATTAATTCAGGTAATATTCTAAATTTTTATCTTCAATATTTAAAAAATATTAACTTGCCAAGACAAATTTGCTAGTGTGTCTGTACATATTCACAGGGTCTTCTGTGAATATCTTAGGATGGAATCTATTACTCTAAGTTTAGAGTACGGTATGTAACAGTGTCCTAGCTTAATCCTAGCATGGGGCAAAGAAAATCAAAGATGTGGTCAACAGTAGGTTGTAGTTAAAGTAGGGTGCACAATTTGCTTTCTTCCTCATCTCTTCCTTGTCTCTTCCTCTTCAGATTTGTTTGTATTGATCAGGTGTGCTGCTCAAACTTCCTTCTAGGGGGCAGCAGTGTCCTGGAATTTTGCCAATATTCCTCCCTTTCTTTTTAAACCTACTTCAGTGATTCTTAGGTCTTCCCCAAAGAATCAAAACTCAAGGAAGTAAATGTGCAATTATGTTATCATATGAGCATACTGATATTAGGAAAAGGTAATATTACATCTGTAGTCATTAGAAGGAAAAGTTATTGCAGGGTATTTATAAAGAAAATATCGTAAAATGGTACAGTTCAGAGGAAACTAATATATTACAAAAGACAGGTTGTGCAGGGGAGAGTAGCCCTCATTTCACTCTTAAATATATAGTTCACTTTTACTAGTATATTTGATGCATATTTTATTGCTACTAAAATCAGGTTACTAAATGATAAATACATGTTAACTTTTAGAGTAGAAATTTTAACTGTGGGGTTTAAGTCTGTGAGAATTAAAATCTGTTGAGCAAACCAGTTTCCTTTTTTTTCCTTTTCAGAGGAAAAAAGAATGGGACTTAATTCTAACTTAGAACTTCTTAAAATTACTTTGATTTGTCAGGAACATTTACTGAATTGGAGATTTTTATTTTGCATTAAGATTATGTGTTACAAAATAACTCAAAATACAGAGTAGAAATCATTTAAAATTCCTAACTGCCCTCTTGGTTTTCCAATGATGGAGACACTAGATCATAGTAAATCTTGACACCAGGTAATATACATGAAATTTTATTTCTTATCTCACTTTATTGTATTCAGATTTAACTCTGATATAGGTAGCATATCAAAATAGTTGGAAAGTTATCCTTTAAAGTTCTATATGGTTATATCTTTTTTATATCTACTAGATCCTGGTCCCAAACTCTAGAAATAGGCTATTGGGTATGAAGACCATGAGGACACAGGCCACTGGTTATTCAGCAGGAGAACAAAGGTGGCTTCCTCAGTTGCTTTAAAATTTAATTCATAACATCTTTCATTTCCTCACATCATCATCATGTTTGTAGAATGAGTAGCATTGTCACTTTACCCCTCATTTCCAATCATGCTTCTCCTTGTGTGTCTCTCCTGAATTTTTGCTTAATAACATTTCAGAAATATGGTGGGTGTAAGGAAAAGAAAAACAATTTTTGCTCAGGGTTCTCATGTTCTACAGTAGCCTTGCTTATTGAAACAGAGAGGAATCTTGCTTGCTTGTCATTGTTTTGTATATTATGTGATTCTGACATTTTCCTTTTTCTCCAAGAGAGATAACTCAATAGACCAAATGGAAAAAAAATTCTTTTCTGAGTTACACATAACTTAATTTTTGCACCAAGTTCTTACTCATAACTCTTAACTGCCAAATATTAGAGCTATGAAAAAAGGGTATTGCCACTAATCATATGGTAAAGATGAAATCTGATAGAACTTATTTAGATTATATTCACTAAACAGCGTTTATTATTTAACATTTTGTAGAAAAGTGCAACTATTACTGGAGAAATGTAAATATCCTTCAAACATCATAACTGTTCTTTTCTTCATATATCTTGTCTGTTACTAAAAAGTATTTTGTGTGCTATTGATGCAAAAAGGGAGTGACACTTTCAGATAAATTCAGAAATGCACCTTAGTCATCAGACATGAAATGTGAAATTCTGTCACACTGGCATGAATGACCGCTACTACAATCACTGGCTCCTCTTTTATTAGTTTTTTTATTAATTAAATAAAAAGTCTGCCATTGGCCTTATAAAAGTGCTCATTTGCTTTCTTTTAATTTCAAGTAGATTAAAAGTGAGATTTGGCATTAATTGAAAACTTAGAAATTATGGGGATTTTAATGGCAAACAACAGTTCAGTTGTGAACGCGATGACTTCCTAGCTCTGTTTAGTAATAAACTTGATAATGAACAATGGCAAGACAAAAAAATGAATCATGAGAAACAAAGAACACCATCATTGGCCCCATTGACCATGTGACGTTTTCTTCCTGGCTAACTGGGAGCATGTAGGAGGAAGGATCAACTATGAGGATTTCTTTTTAAACTTCTACAATATTTCTGGAAATCTCAGTTGTGCTTCGAGATGGACTTGGGAAGATAGCAATAAATGTGTAAAAACGCATCATCTGGATTAACTAGTTTAATGGAAATACTTCAACATCATATTCTGCAAATACAGTTTCATCTATCTTTAAGTTAAATTTAAAAGTATAGAACAATTCATGTTCAAGAAGTATCAGAAAGTTTCACATTTTCTTGTCTAAGCCAAAGGCCTGTTGCAAGAAAGGGCCATTTTCTATGGGGACCTGTAGTACAGATATTTTCCAATTAGCATCTTTGCATGTTCTCCTCTGGCATGAATTGGGGTTAGCCTTGTCACACTGGGCTTTTAAGGGGACCTCTGTCTTTGCAGACAGGCTACATGTGACAAGATTAAATTGGCACACTTTTCTGTATAGCTCTTGTGCTCCTGGAAGCTCTAGTCTGGTTGATACCTCTGAGAAAAGGCTCAGCTGTCACTCAGTGACCCATTAACACTACAGGTCCATCCTGCAGTGTCATTTTTCTCATTCTTATGGAGATAATGTTCCCTGGAGATCACAAATACCTGCAGGAATGAAAGTGAACAGCAGAGACAAGCTAACTACCAAAAAGAGAGCAAACAACACAGTAAGACCATGTATCCCAACAGTTAAATTTTAAATGGAGTAAAAAAGATGCGGTCCATTATGATGGCTGGGTTTTGAAGGTGGGGAAAGAATCCAGTTTTAAGAGATCTGGTAACTTTTAAAAACAAGTTATTTTGTTCTCCCTGCCTGAATATCAAAAGTGAACCAAATAACACTTGCACTAGGTGTAGAGAAAGCAGCTGTTTTAACATGTAATAGGACAACTTGAGTAAAAATTTACCATTTACAAATGGGCAATAGATATAAAACAAAGCATGAATCAAGTGAATTGCTTAATATTTTAAACAGAACAAGCTCTTTCATTAGGGTTGACTTATTGGTGCATAAAATCACCTTCCGAGTAAAAGCACAAAATATGAAGTCTATATGTGATCTTTGTAGCTCTGGGCGTAAGGCTTCTTGTGTCAAGATTGAAATATTATCAGTGGCTCAAACTTTGTGCTTTCTTGAAGTTCAAACTGTATAGGGTTTCATGGGTGATATTTTAAAGAAGTTTTGCTTTCTAATGGTTACTTCAGAAAGAGAAATTATAAGAACACACTGCTCAATTTCTTGGACTAAGTAAGGCTAGTCCAATTTGGATTGATATGCATGCCAAAAAAAATAACAAAAAGCCACTTGAGTCTATAGAAACTTGTTGGCGACACCTTTAAGTACAAGAAAAGCCTCCCAAATGCAACAAAAAGAATGATGAGTGAGTCAGGAAATAGGTATAAAACCGGGCAGGATTTAGAGTTACTTAAAAGGCTAAGAAAAGGTGGGACATTACATTTTTTTAGAATTTACTTCTCAATCCTGCCTGCAATTTTGCCATGCCAGGAAAATTGACCTAATTATTGTTCAGGCTGAGGTTTGTGTATATCCCTTCTCTCCCCTAGAGGGTGAACGTGGCATTTTCTTTGGGAGCACTAACTTTTCTTAAAACAAAACAAGAACTTTTTTTGGTGCGGGGAAGAGATTGCTTTGAAAAATTATTATTTGGACAGTTGAAAGGACAAAGAATTTACAACTTAATTTTTTCAAAGTGATGAAATATTCACACATTTTCAAAATCAAAAGCAAGACTTTAGAGAAGTGTAGAAAGAAGCACCTTTGACCTAACTTCTGAAGACCCTCCTGTGCTTTAGGGATCCCGTGTGAGAAGTAAGGCTATGGAGTGGAGCAGGGACTCAGATAATTGTGGTTTGTGTTGATCAGGTGCCGGGGGCTGTTTGGCCAAGTCTGCCATCAGAAGAAGACTATAAACTACCTTTAGTTTTCATTTCACACTTGCAGGGTTTCTGCTGCGTTCTTGTGCACTGATTGTGGCGCAGCGCGCGCCTTGGTTGCCAGGAGACGCAGGGCACTGGCCACGGCTGCCCGGTGGTCGTTGGGATCTGCCACCCAAGGTCGCCATCGGCCTTACTCCATGAGGAAGATGCTGGCCGCTGTGGTCTCCCGCATGTTGGGGGTCGCCCAGAAGTCAGCTCGCAGAGTGCTGCTGACTTCCTGTAACTTTTCAAATGACGCTACCATTGACATTAAGGGTTGTGATCTTTATCGGTTGGAAAAGGGGCCCCCCACGACTGCGGTGCTCACCAGGGAGGAAGGGCTCAGATACTACAGGGCCATGCAGGTCGTTCGCCGCATGGAATTGAAGGCTGATCAGCTGTATAAGCAGAAGTATATTCGTGGCTTCTGTCACTTGTGTGATGGTCAGGAAGCTTGCTGTGTGGGTCTCGAGGCAGCAATAAACCCCTCTGATCATGTCATCACGTCCTATCGGGCTCATGGCATATGCTATATCCGTGGACTCTCGGTCAAGTCCATCCTGGCGGAGCTGACGGGAAGAAGAGGAGGTTGTGCGAAGGGAAAAGGAGGCTCCATGCACATGTATGCCAAGAACTTCTATGGGGGCAATGGCATCGTTGGTGCGCAGGTACCCCTGGGAGCTGGCATTGCACTGGCCTGTAAATACATGGGGAAAAATGAAATCTGTTTGACTTTATATGGGGATGGCGCTGCTAACCAGGGGCAGATAGCTGAAGCTTACAATATGGCAGCCTTGTGGAAACTACCTTGTGTGTTCATCTGTGAGAATAACCGCTATGCAATGGGCACCGCTATTGAGAGAGCAGCGGCCAGCACTGATTATTACAAGAGAGGCAATTTTATCCCTGGGATCAGGGTGAATGGGATGGATGTTCTATGTGTCCGGGAGGCCACGAAGTTTGCCGTTGAGCACTGCAGGTCTGGAAAGGGGCCCATAGTGATGGAGCTAGAGACCTACCGTTATCATGGACACAGCATGAGCGATCCTGGAATCAGTTATCGCACACGAGAAGAAATTCGGATCATGAGAAGTAAGAGCGATCCGATTATGCTTCTCCAAGAGAAAATGATAAGCTACAAGCTCACCAGTGTTGAAGAATTAAAGGAAATAGATGCGGAAGTTAGGAAGGAAGTTGAGGATGCTGCCCAGTTTGCTATAACTGATCCGGAACCAGGTTTGGATGAATTAGGCCATTACCTCTACAGCAATAATCCAACTTTTGACGTTCGTGGTGCAAATCAGTGGATCAAATATAAGTCCATCAGTTAAATGGATATGACATGTAAATTTAGTATTAATCCTCCAATGGAACATTGGCGGTCAACTTTGAGAAATTGTGTTCTTAACTGCGTGAAGGAGGAATAAAAGCTTTAAAATGAAAGTCTTGTAAACTTTTGTTAAATAATTTTGGCAGAGTATTAAAATAGATTAAAAGCTGTACACTCAGTGAAAAGGAATATTCAAATATATTCTGCTGCATTGAAAGACACTAGTAAATCATTTAGCATGAATCTCTTTTGGATTGTTTCAAATTTATAAAAGATTAAAATAAGAAAAACAGGCTTAACTTCCCAAGCTATTTGACAGAATAGTTCTATTTGGTTTAGTTTTATATTATTTTAATAAACACTCAATGAAAGGAAAAATGGTTTTTTGATTCCTGTTCCCTTGTCAAGAGTTTGTAAAGTCACTATTCTGAGTTAGATGATATCAAGCCCGACAAGATCCCTAGGGCTCAGCCTCTTATAACAGTTTACTTGAATAATAACTATCACAGTTTGGCACCATAGCACACAAACATATGCAATATTGATGCTGAAGCTGAACACTATTTTTTCCACTAAAACATACTGGCGGAAGGAGGGAAGGAGGACAAGGACTTTTTCACCATAGTATTGTGCTCCATTACAATATTTTTAGTGTAGTAATTAAAATGAAAAATATAAACAGAAAACCTAGAGGAAAAATTGCATTTTGCTTTAAACTTCATGCTAAAGTTATTTTATAATCCATTCATGCCATATGTGTTCCAAATTTAAAACAGTCATTCTGGTAAATTTTAAAATAATATTAAAACAGAGATGATAAAGAGGTTGAACAGAAGACAATGATACAAACTGGAAAGTAAAACTCTACCTCACCTTTAATAATAGTTGTTGGCTATATTTTTTGCTAATTATTAATTATTTAGTATATTTTAATGCAACTGGATATTCACAGAAAACTTTTCAAAAGGAGAATGTAACTTGTATTATATAGGTTTAGTCTTCTTTATAGTCCAATAAAATAGCAATCAGCAGGCTAAGACTTGATGAAAAAATTTCTACTTGGTAATACTTGACTAATGACCAAAACTCTTATTGGGTTTGACATTTGGCTTGCCTTAGTCTTGATAGACTTTGTGGAACTGAAAAATGAGAATTTGCCTATGATTTAAGAAACCATTTGTGGAATATAGCAAAAGAATCAGATAAATAAAGGTTACAACTTTATTGTACGTAAACTACTTGTATAAATATGGACACATGTCCTCTATAAATAAGTTATTCAAGTAAGATAATTTCAACATTCTAAATTCAGAAGGCAAAGATAAACATTGTTGGGTTTACAAATTAGTCACTTTACTACCTAATGTGTTTTGGTCAGAATACTGCTAGTGCAGTTCAGAGATATTTCAATTGGATCCCTACTATTACAAACAAAAGATTTTTATACAACAATCCACAATAATAAGCACAATCTCCTAATGATATTCCCTTTTTTTTATTCACTGGTATTTCCATAGGTTTGCAAGTGGAAGAGAAGCTTCACAAAGCTATTTTACAAATAGGGTGTGCAAAAATCATTTCAAAAATTTTGTTAAATAATAGATTTTTTTTAATGTCAGCAACAATTAGTATACAAATAATTTATGACAATTGAAACCATCAATGAATCACAAATACACAAATATTGTACTTCATTCATGGAAAATTCTAAATCTTACCATGTTAGAGTACTTTTTTCAAAATCTATATTGTCAAATGCCAGTAGGTCAAGAGTTTGCAATATTGAAAAATATCCGACTCCTTTGTATACTTTCAGGAATTATGTCACTGGTGGCACGCAATTCTATAATTATGGAAAAAGAAATATCATCTAAACTTGTTTTCAATTAGGTCAAGCTTCATTGTCTAATACTAGCAACAAATAAACTGTAAGCCAATCAGATGCAGAAATCAAATAGGTGGATTCTACTTCCTATCTACAGTTCTAGGCTACTTTAATCTATCCAACATAAGACCTAATAAATCACGATAATTATAAGAAATTCATTGTCACAACAATAATGGGACAAGTAAGAGAAGGAAGACTTCCTAATGTCTTAATGGTACTATATAAAGGCAGATTTTATGCACATGTGTGGAATGGAATGAGAAAGAAAGTTAAAGTTGCATAAAGGGAATACTGAGATACTTTAGAACTTATTTAAAATAAATGAATACCCATTTAGTATATAAAAGATGCCCATTTGGATACCCATTTAGATATAAAAGATACAATATATTGTTAGCAAAAATTAACCTGATAATTTGTGAGAGCTGATTAAAAATTGAAATATAATTCACATGCTGTAAAATTCACGCTTTTAAGAGTGTACAGTTTACTGGGTATAGTGTATTTATGAGGCTATGCAATAATTACCACTAATTCCAGAGTATTTCATCACCCCAATGAGAAAACACATATCCATTTTTAGTCACTCCATTTCTCCTGGAAACTATAAATCTACTTTCTGCCTCTGGGTTTTCCTGTTCTGGAGACTTCATACAAATCACAAAATATGCATCCCATGTGCCTGACTACTTTCACAGCATAATGTATTCATGCTTCAAGTCTCATCCATGCTGTAGCATGTACTAGTTCTATATTCCTTTTGAATGGCTGAATAACATTCCATTTTATTTGTCCACTTATCTACCATTAATTGGTACATATTTGTTTTTTTGACAAAATAGCCTTTTGACTATTATGAATAGTGAATCTGTTGTTGAGAAAAAGTTCAATCATTTCCTTTAAACATAAAGACATGGGCTGGAAGCATAGCTCAAGTGGTAGTAAATAAATGATAATAAAATGCAAAGACAACAGAAAAATTAAAGCTACAGCAATACAACTATATCCCTTATAATACAGTCTGCTTCAAATCTATTTGAAGACAAGTATTATAACACTATGACCCTGAATATTTATCAACTTATAACTATTATTATAATTGAATTTTGAGTTTGTAATAGACTATATTTAGAAAAATTTTATAGTCACAGAAAAATTGAGAATTAGGTACAGAGTTTCCATGGCCTGTACCCAGTTATTAGCATTTTATATTAATTTGTGATAAAGAAAGGGTAAAATCAATGGGCCTGGATTACTCCAAACCTATACATCCTACAGAAAAGACTCCATTCACACCCTGGAGAGAGAATTTCTGAGCCGTTTGAATATTATACTTGATAGGAATGTTTTTGTAAGCCTGAGGTGCTGGTCCATGCCTTGCCAGCGTGACCGGGTGAGTTTATCTTAATAATATGTCCTAGTGTCACTCTATGAGGAGAGATGTCGAAACTTGTGCCTGGATTTTCCTATATTTCTTCTCTCTCTGCATCTTTTCCCTTGCTGATTTTGAACTCCATCCTTTATTATAGAGCATAATTGTAATGTTAAAATTAATTTACTTTCCTAACTATATAGAATACAATGCTCTCTTTAGAAATGGTCTGGGGACCTGCCTAACTCAGGTTCACATGTGACAGTAATACTCAGGTGACAGTAATAATCACAACTTTTATTCTATTTTACTAGACACCCTTTGAGTGCAAAACATGATGCTTAGTATTTTATATGCACTGTGACACTTGATGTTTGTAATATCAGATTAATGTAGGCATTAAATCATCATTTTCCTGAAGAGGAAGTTGAAGCTCGAGTAAGATGCTCAGAAAAATCACAATTTATAAATGGCAGAAGCAGGACTCAAAGTCAGGTAGAAAAAGTTAATATTTTGAAAATAATTTTTGGAACTGATTTCTAATCTCTGCTTCTAGTATATAATTTATTCAACTATGAATAGGTGAAAAAAGTGAACTAATCAGTGAAATTAAACTAGAACCAGGGGATTTTATTACTGTCAACTGACTGAAATTGGGAGGGAAATAGAAAGTAAGTCAAGTTAAAGACAGTAGCAAAACTTGCGAAACTTCTCCCATTAAGAAGTTGGCTCTATGCCCCTTCCCCTTCAATCTGGGTTGCCTGCATTGACCTAAAGAAAACAGCAGAAACAGTTTCAGGGTGCAAGATGTGTACAGCAAACAGTATTTCCCTCACATCGTTAGGAACATTTTAGGAGCTGTGATACTCTTTCAGAAACACAAATACACTGGAAGCCCCTGCTTAAGAGAGGGCATGGGCAGACACTGTAGTTACCAGTCCCAGATGATCTCTGCTTTCCAGACAATGGACACATGAGGGAGGTCACCTTGGATTCTCCAGGCATCTCATTCACTAGCTGAAAGCAATGAGTGACTTTGATATCTTGCAAAGCATTAGAATCACCAAACTCTGCCCAGATTCTCAACATACAAAATCACATGAAAAAGAAAAGATTGCCTTTAAGACTAATTATTGTGGAACATTTTAGCAACAGATAACCAGAATAAAATGAGGTTGGTCTCAGCAGAAATTAGAGTTACATTGATTGGTCAAAGTCATATATTTCAAGAGAGTGATTGACAATTAGTAAACCAAGACAGAGAAAGAATTCCCAAAGGATTTACTAGTGTGTAGATTCACAATGTATAAACAAGAGAGAAGAGACAAATCTCCCAAAGAAACGAGAGCACACCTCGTGACAAAATGATATTTTCCCACCACCTCAGGCTGACTTTCAGGCTAACTAGAATACCTACAATGTTGAGCTTTGTGATTTTTATAGTAAAATACTGTTAGCTGTAATTCAAGTAATACATCTGTAGATTTTATTTGTAATTTCAGTAACTAAGACTTGTCTCAGAGCTCAGATGGAGATTGTCTGTTGACTGGTGAGTATTGGGCCTTGATGGGTCCATCACTTGAAATGCCAAGGAATTGTAATCTACTTGGAATTTCATAGCTGTTGTGATGGATATAGCCATCACAGAAGAGGAATCCAGGCAGTCAAGAGCTCAGGGATAATAAAACATAAGAGTCAAAGCTGGAAAAAAGTCAGGAACTGAGCCAAATCAGTTGCCATT